ACATTGTTATTTTTATTATTTTAATTTTATTTATTGATCTTTTACTGTTTCTTTTATTTATTATTTTTATTCTTTTATTTTATTACTTTATTAATTTATTAAAATTTATTATATTATTTATTTTTTATAAATCCAACTAAAAAAAGAAAAATAGGTAAAAGCTTGTAATCTCTGCAATAAATAAAATATACAAATAAATAATGAGATAATTATTATTAAATAAATTACCTTCTTATTGTGCTTGTGCATGGTAATGGTAAAATTGAATTTTCTCGTAGAAGACGATAAGCTGCTGGTGAACGCATATGGAACAGCAAGCAAAGAAGTATCCAATCTTCAGAATACCTCCGTCCTTTAGTGCTCTTGCACTTGGAAGCATTTAAAATTTCAGATATTACTGTGCGTTCATTTTTGTGTATTTTTAAATTTGACAATTTATTAGACAAATTTTTGTCGTCAAAATTAGCCATTTGGTCTTGAAGTTTACCAAGCTCATGTTTATAATGATTGTACAGACTTTCAAAATGAATCTTCTGTTGTCTGACATTTTTACACTTTTTCTTTAGTTTCTCGAGCTTCATTTTGTTATTAGGACTTAAATTAAGCAAAATGCGTTTATATTCTCCCCTTTTCTTAAGACGAAGGGCTTTATTTGTCAACGCTTTTCTGCCAGTTTTGCAGCTTTGACAGCGAAGAAATTTCCCAGGTTTTTCAGATTTCGGAACAATAAGGGAACATTTCCCATGTCGCAAACGACCTTCAGAATCATGAAATGCAAATGAACTTTCAAAATTTTTTTTCGAACTCGGGGAAGCACAACCTATACAAATTTGAGCTTCGTCTAGACGATTTACGAGATTTTCGATTTCTTCAGTAGAAGATACATATTCGTTTTCAAAATCGATTGATTTTAAATCTAAATTTGTTCCCATTGTCTTTACCTCTACACCTAAGTCTTGATAGATAATTAATTGTCTTGAAGAAACAAATAATAATTTATTATCGACTCTACGTGTTATTACTCTTGTTAACTCGATTGCCTCGAAGTGTCCTTCATTTGACTGTCTTCGATTCCACGATACTGGAATAATCAAACTGTCCTTGTTTTGAAAAATAAAGTTAAAAAGAGCTTCACGCTCTTTTTTATTTTCGTGTTGATCAAAATCTACTGGTGAGTCGGTTTCTAAAATTTTATTTTCTAAATTGTTTGAATTATTAACATTTTGTGGGATATTATTATTCTCAAAATCATTAGCAATCTGCGGAATCTGATGTTCAATGCTGTCGAAAATTTTTCTCCTCTTCGAGTTGTTACTTTCAACGATTAAATTTCGTTTTTTTGGAGATTTTCTTTTTTTTGTATTTTTGGATAAGTAAGAAGGACAGTTTGGAAAAATGCCAGGAATTCTGCCCGGCTTCAAATATGGTCTTCTTAAATCCTCCTGCAAATAATATCAAATTTTCAAAAAATTGTATTTAAAGTATTTCAAATCACATTTTATTAAAATGAGTCAAATAAATTCACATCTTTTAAAATAGAAACGCACAATTCGATACTATTTTTATTAAAAACAGATATTTATAATTATATCAACACAGTTACAAATTAACATAAGATTTTATATATTTTGATTATTTCTTGCGTTAACATTTCCGTACAAACTACTTTTTTTAAATCAAATTTTCAATACAAAGTCTGAAATAATCTAAGTAACCAAATATAATTAAGAAATAAACAATATCTACGATATTAATTTCTTGAAAATTTAAATTTAATCTTTACCTAAATAAATACATACAAATAATATAAACAGACTTACAGACGCAATGACCTTCCCTGATGGATCCTTCACTTCCTTCTTCCAAACAACATCTTCTGGAAGAAAATGTTTGTGACAGACTACTTGTCCAGGTTTCACTACGAAATCTTTCCTCGGTATTGCCGATTGCCACTGTTTAATTAATTCTGTACTTTTCGGTACAGATAATAAAGTCACCTTTTCCTTGCAACTCGAGTAACCAGAGTTACAATTAGGCACTATACATTTACTGTTTGTCATATTTCAGCACGAAGAAATAAGTCCACTCAACGAAAGTATAATATCATAAACACAAAAATTATTTCCACTTCGAAGTCACATTATTTTACTTTTAAAATCAAAATGATCAAAATCATTGTTTTGAATCGACCGTTTCGACTATACACATGTGAATAGAACACAGCAAAACATAAGGAGTAACGAAAGTGGCGCCACCACAAACTTTTAGTTTCAGTGGCATCACTAAGAGCAGACTGATTTTCTATGAGTAATATAGGTCTGGTTTCATCTGCCTTTCTGGATGCCAAAAAAGCAGGTTTGATATTAGAGGATCAGGCTAGCTTTGTCACTGACAAATGCAAGATTAGTCGGGCAAAAAAAAGTGTTGGAGTTAAGCTCCAAAACACCAAAAGTATTGACTCTGTATACGGGCTGTATTTTGACGGCCGCAAAGACAATACACTCACACAAGTCCGCGAAGGAGAAAAGTACTACCGCGACACTGTTAAAGAGGAACATATTTCTCTTATAGCGGAACCTGGTTCTCATTACTTTGGCCACGTCACCTCTCCTTCCGGGTCAGCTGAGGATGAGATGCAAGCTATATGGCAACATTTACAAGACAATTCAGTAGATGTGGAACATCTAGAAGTTGTCGGTGCTGATGGCACCAACACGAACACAGGTTGGAAAGGTGGAATCATTCGGAAACTAGAAGAGAAAATAGGTAGGCCATTACAGTGGGTTGTTTGTCTTCTACATTTCAACGAACTTCCATATCGTGCTCTTTTCGAACACATAGATGGTGTCTCAAAGAGTCCAAATACATTCTCTGGCGACATAGGTAAACTGCTCCCTGATTGTGAGAAGTTGCCTGTTGTCAAATTTGAAAGTTTTCCATCATGCCAATTACCTTCTGAGGTTATTAATCCGACCCAACTTAGCACAGATCAAGCTTATCTCTACAAAATATCAGAAGCTGTTATTTTCGGTCAATGCTCTTCAGAATTAGCGTCGATGCAGCCAGGTAACATGTGTAAATCTCGCTGGCTCACCTGTGCAAATAGAGTTCTGAGATTATACATTTCTACTGACAAACCAACAAAGGAAATACAAATTTTGGTCAAGTACATACTTACAGTTTACTCACCTTTGTGGTTCTCAATAAGATTTCACAGTTCAATCAAAGATGGCTCGCGGCATCTCTATGCTGCAATTCAAAGGTCGAGATACTTACCTGCTAAACTGCGCAAGGTTGTCGATTCATCCATTCAACAGAATGCTTTCTTTGCTCTTCCAGAAAACATTCTACTTAGTATGATGACTGACGAACGGATAGAAGTCAGAAAGTTGGCCCTTGACCGTCTTCTGTCAGCCAGAGAAGCAGAGACTGACACTGTAAATGGATGGGTTAGACAGGGGTCTAGCGTCCGGGAAAAACGGGAAAACCGGGAATTTGCCGGGAATTTAGTTCGACCGGGAAAAACCCGGGAATTGAAAAAAATATCCGGGAATTTTTGGAAAGTTTCGCTAATTCATTAAAATCTATAAAAAAAATTCAATTTAAGATATAGTTCTCTGGCAGCTACTCTTTTAAAAATTAATTTTCGATAGATTTTCTTCATATTTTGAGAAAATATTTTTTCGGGTACCCTTTAAATGTGGTAAAAATTTCAAAACCTTTTGCCATGTCAAAAAACGAGATATTGTGGTTGACATTTTTTATTTTTAACATAATCGCATGGAAAAGTAAAAGTTTGAACTTGAATAAGTCAAAATTTAGCATCGCAAAGGGTTTTGAAATTTTTACCACATTTAAAGGGCACCCGAAGAAACATTTTTCCTCAAAATTTGAAGAAAATAAATTTTTACAAGTGTATAGAAGCCGGAGAACTACCTTCAGTCTTATATTTTTCAAAAATTTTAAAAAGATATATTATAGGTAATAGTCAATTTCACGTTAAATTTCAGTTCACATTTTCAATTAGGATGAAAATATATTATTGTAAATCTATTTTTTCATTTTTTATAGGTAACGAAATGTTTGGATTTTTAAAAGTAGACTTGTTTTCAATTATCTACAACTCTAAAACTATTGAATTTAGAAAACTTAAATTGAAAGTTTAAATATAAATCCTAATGTTTTTAACTTATTGCAGTTGAACCTCAGTGACTTTTAATGTAAATATCTAAAAGAATACATAAATGCCATTGGATGTTGCAAAATAATTCCGAAACGATCATTTATATAAACGAAAATAATTGCAATTTCTATTATTCGAACTTTTGATTATCTGAACCAAATCCTGCCTGAATTAGTTCGGATAATTCAGTTTTCACTGTATTTAAAAAATTATGAAATTTTAATCGTATATAGTCATTAATGTCTTAAAAATAAATCCGGGAATAATTTAGTTTTAGGTCCGGGAAATCCGGGATTTTGCCGGGAATTTGAAAATCATAATTCGCTAGACACCCTGGTTAGATGTAATAAAGTGCCAAAGCTGAATTTCAAAGCTAATAATTATTACGATATGATTAACTGGAAGACTATTACCTTGACTGTACGACCAGTTCTTCGTTCAGTTTCTAACGAAGAACTCATAAAAGGGTTGTCGGGAGACACTGCAGAAATATGGAAATTTAGTGAATTCCCCTCTCACACCGTGGCAGTCGAGAGAACCGTCAAACTGGTGACGGGGGCATCTTCTAAAGTTATTGGCCCCCAGTCTCGTGATCGTTTTATACGCTCTACACTGAAATCTAGGCAACAACTGACAAAGTTTAGTACAAAATCTGATTTTATCAATAAATTTGATACAGATTCAGACTAAAACAAGCCTGACATATGGTTGGTTGGTTGGGTTGGGCTTGGGAGGAACCCGAAGAGCAGCCACCTCCACGTGGTGGGTTCTGGGTAACCACTAACCAACACAGGTTAGCTGAGAGCTGCAACAATTTTCACCTTGCGCTGCGGCGCGCCGCCTTTTTGCTCGCATCTCGGGAATGGTTCGTCCTAAGGCCATGATCACATATACCATTTCGGTAGCTAATGATGCGACAAACAACTTTTGTTTTGAACATTTTGCCATGAGAGGCGTATTTCAGGCGCTAGGTAGTCAATTTCACGATTTTAGGCGAATTTCCGAAAATTCAAGGTCGGAGTTGGGGTTGAAGATGCAGTCCGATCTCAAAATGAAAAATTGCATTGGAATCAGGAAGTACTAAGGCAACTTTTCCGCACTATTAGAAATCCCGAATCGAAAAAAGTCCGAAATCGACCCACCCTACATGTATGGCAGAATATGTAGAGCCCACGTAGCAGAAGTGCATATGTTTTACGTAGGCCACGCTATATAGAATCTACGTAGTATTTTTCTGTAATATTTACATAGGCCTGACTATGTAGAATGTAAATAGAAATTTTGAATGTAGTCTATGTATAGGCCAACTGTTATAAGATCTATGTAGTGCTAATAAGTACTTTCTACATAGATTTATAATCACACAAGATATATATAAATAAATTCGAAATTCTATAATTTTATTAGATAGTAATTGTTGACAAAAAATTCTAAACTGCAATGTTTTCTTTGCAAAAATTAGGAAATTGTATTTTTATGAATTTATCACTTGGTAAAAATTACACAATTTAAATTAGAAGGAAATTAAGTAGGGATTTATATTTAATCTAGTTTTGGTTTTCACATTACATGCGGGAATTTAATTAATGTAGTTCTAATAAACAAACAAACTACGGAATAAAATTAAGACATGATATTCAATTATATATAAGTATATTTAGATTCATTCCGTTTTAGTTATTCAGTCTACTATTCCTTTACAATTGTAATTATAAATTAAATAAGTAGTTATTATATTCAATTTAATTATAATTATTTCATACACATAAATTTTCTTAATTTATTGAATAAATGAAATTAATAATTTCCACAAAATATAATTAATATATATATATATCAGTCCTTTAAAGCTTTTTATCACACAAGAACACTTAAACAATTCACTTTACTATTTATTCACTTTATAATTCACTTTTCACATATCCATTTTAATGCGAAAAAAAATTCTGCTTACGAAAAAATATTAACTTCAAAATAATATTGTCACACACGGTTTTAGACTCTTTGTGACGAATGCTAAAGAGCAACTGACGCTCGAAAGACCTTCGGAAAAAGATTTGAAGTTCCTGAACATTTGCCCTGTATATTTCTATCTGAAAAATTTCTATGTTTTTGTCTAAGTAAATCTATAAGAAAAAAAGAGAACTGGAAAAGCTATAAAAAGACCCTCTTACAATGAGGAACCTTTAGAGATGGTCAACCAAAACAAACCAGATGTGACAAACACTTGAAAATAAGAAAATACTTTAAATATTTTATATATTTTGCCTTTAGAGAAGAAGTATTTACCATTTACAATAAAATTTACAAATGTAATTTTTTATTTGTTTACAATATAATTGTTATTATTTAGGATTATGGGTATAAAATAGAATAAGAAACAATATTATATTTTAACTTCTGCTTTTATTAAATACGCACTTGGAAGATGCATGTAATCTTTACTCTTTGCCTGATCAATTAAGACTAAAATGGAAATCACAGAACCAGAGAAAACTGACTCACATAAGCCTAATACTTCTGCAATAGTCTTTGTTCAAAAATGGTTTACAAAATTTGATAGCCGTCCGCCGTCCTGTCATCTCAATATATAAACAGTTTAAAAGAAAAACTTATACGATCTTATATTACATTTCTAAGAAAGAATGATTTTTTATAAATAATTATTTTATAAAAACTAACAGTTATTTTTAAATAAATTGAAATTTTTAGAATAAAACTGCTGATCTAGTTATAAAAATATTTCTAACTTTTTGACAGTCAAAATTTTGTAATAAAATTTAGGATAAAAATATCTTTCATTAACAGACAAATAGCTTGTTTTATTTTATTTTCAATCATTATTTTCATTTAAAAGTCTTTGTATATCCTATATAAATATTACATCTGTAGACCTACATAGAAAGGCCTGCTCATAACTTATCTCGATATTACGTCGACTGTCCTGTATATTTCCTACATATAAATGCAGATGAAGATCCTACCTAGATTTAAAAATTAAATGCCTACATAGAAAAGCCTATTCAAAACTTACCTCGCCATTACGTTAGATGGCCTATATATTTCCTATGTACAAATACTAATGTAGATCCTACATAAATTTCATGTATATGGGCCTACATAGAAAGACCTACTAAAAACTTACCTTAATACTACGTTGGGTGGCCTACATCTTTCCTATTTACAAATTCTAATGTAGATCCTACATAATTTTCATGTACACTGGGGTCAAAAAGTTTCAGTACATTTGTACTGATTACTGTTAAGTGCTCGCTTCACTTAAAATTCAAATATTTCTGTAAAAATAGATGTAAGAGCTATCAAAGTAGGATCATTTTAAAGTTCAATAAATTTAGAGTCAAATAGGATAAGATATAACCAATTTAGTAGTGTAAATATTAAAAATATAATTCTTTAAAGTTAGAGATTTTTTGTGAAAATTGCGATTTTGAAATCTGAAATTCAAGCGTACGCCAATTGAAGAAAAATTTTTTTTAAGTTTTGATAGTTGCACAATAAAAAGTACAAATTTAATTCTTTAATTCTAGACCAAAATCATTCACATATATTAAGTATTTTCTTCAAATTCTATAAAAATAATATCTCTTGCTCTAAATTTTTCGAAGAATATAAATTGCAAATTCGTCGTTTTCATTCACTTCTTCTATCAAATAACCACACTTTTGAAAAATATTGAACCTCTTCATCTTAGAAAATTTAAGATATTTACATGAAATTTATCCTTCTTCTTATAGTTTTATAAATTTTAACTCTACCATTATTCCTTATTTTCTTTCCAGGTGACTATTTTTTATTTTACAATAACAAAAAGGTGCATATTTTTCAAAAGTGTGGTTAATTTATAAAACAAGTGAACGGAAACGACGAATTTGCAATTAACATTCTTTGAAAAATTTCGAGAGCAAGGGAAGTTATTTTCATAGAATTTGAAAAAAATACTTAATATATGTGAATTATTTTGGTCTAGAATTAAAGAATGGAATTTATACTTGATATTGTGCAACTATCAAATCTTAAAAAATTTTTTCTTCAATTGGCGTGCGCTTGAATTCCAGATTTCAAAATCGCAATTTTCACAAAAAATCTCTAACTTTAAAGAATTATATTTTTAATATTTACACTATTAAATTGGTTATATCTTAGCCTATTTGACTCTAAATTTATTGAACATTTTTTCTTACATCCATTTTTACAGAAATATTTAAATTTTAAGTGAAGCGAGCATTTAAAAGTAATCAGTACAAATGTACTGAAACTTTTTGACCCCAGTGTATATGGACCTACATAGAAAGACCTACCAATAACTTACCTCAATACTACGTTGGGTAGCCTATATCTTTCCTATGTACAAATACTAATGTAGATCCTACATAAATTTCATGTATATGGGCCTACATAGAAAGTCCTACCAAAAACTTACGTCAATACTATGTTGGGTGGCCTATATCTGTCAGACATAAGAATACCGATGTAGATCCTACATAAATACAACAATTATAGGCCTACATAGAAAGACCTGCCCAAATATCACCTCAATGCTACGTTGGGCGACCTATATCTGTTAGACATAGGAATGTCGATGTAGATCTTACCTAGATTCAGAAACTGCAGGCCTACATAGATATGTCTACACAAAACCTATGTCGACACTACATTGTGAGGCCTACATCAATTGACTATAGAAAGGCCTACGTATATCCTACATAGATACTACATCTTATAGGCCTTCATAGGGAAATCTACGTACACTCTACATAGAATGTACATAAATTGGCCTACATAGAAGGCCTATTTTAATCCTACACAAACACTACGTAGTAAATACATAGGCCGTACTATTTTTTTACTCGGGTTGTAATTTGATAGTGTTTAGGGTCCTAAATAAGTGTGCCAAAAAGTTTTACAAAATTTTTAATATTTTGCAAGATATTTGCAAGGGAGCGTTCATAAACCCAGTAAAAAAATTCGATACACGGACTGCGGAGTTCGTATACGAGCCCGGTAGCTCGTATGAAAAATATGAGAAATCTCTCATACGAGCCTTTTCCGTAATGAGAAGTGTATAGATGCTTGTATACGAGGTGACTTTTAAAGCATTTTTATTAATGTAACACTATTTTAAAGTAAATGTAGATAATAGAAATGAATTATCTGATCTAAAACAAAGCTAAATTCATGAGGGAAATGAAGTTTTAAGAAAAAAAGAATAATTTTGTTCAAAAAATTTATTCACACTGAAAAAAGGTTAGAATTTGATAATTCCTTGTTACTCTTACTTACCGACATTAGATATTTCTCGGATGCGGTAAGCACGATTTTGTATTAAATTTAATTATTTTATATAAGAACATTTAATAATAATATATTATTAATTAGTAATGAAGAAAAACTTATTTATTCTACCGCTAATACAAAATCGTGCTTACCGCATCCGAGAAATATCTAATGTCGGTAAGTAAGAGAAACAAGGAATTATCAAATTCTAACCTTTTTTCAGTGTGAATAAATTTTTTGAACAAAATTATTCTTTTTTTCTTAAAACTTTATTTCCCTTATGAATTTAGCTTTGTTTTAGATGAGAAAATTCATTTCTATTATCTACATTTACTTAAAAATAGTGTTACATTAATAAAAATGCTTTAAAAGTCACCTCGTATACAAGCATCTATACACTTCTCATTACGGAAAAGGCTCGTATGAGAGATTTCTCATATTTTTCATACGAGCTACCGAGCTCGTATACGAACTCCGCGGTCCGTGTATCGAATTTTTTTTACTGGGAATGATGTCACGTTTTTTGAGGGGAGGGTGAAGGGTCTCTACTAAACGTGACACAATGTATTTTTACATGTGAAATTGCATGAAATTTGTTTGACAGGGGGAG